AAACCTCAGCTAAAGTTGAAACTGGTGAGGGATGTGATTGGCAACGGTCAGGAAGCTGGAGCATATAGTGTATGGGGAGAGGCTGTGGGAACTATTTGTTCAACCTGAAGACAAGGCTATCCAATTGCTATCTTCCACTACCTAATGTGTGGAAGGCACACATGAAAAGGGCAAGAGGCAAAAAACTCTGAGAGTCACAAGCTGGAGCAAAGGAAATTCCAACTAGCTATGAGGAAAAAAAGTTTCATCAGTGAGAGTGATTAAAACCACTGGAACTGGCTGCCCAGAGAGGCTGGGAATCTCTGTCCTTGCAGGTGTTTAAAACTTGAGTGCTAGAGAAAAGTCTGCAAGCCAAATGAGTGCAAGGAACTGTTGTATGAGCCCTTCCCTCCAAATAACTAATAGTTGGAAGACAGCAGGCCTCTCACGCGTGGCTTACTGCTAAGGCACAGATATGCAACATGCAATGCCTGCAAACATGTAATGCTGCTAAATGATTAAACTCTGGAAGTTTATACAGTTCATTAAAGACCATCAAGAAAAAAACAAGACTACTTGAAGAGGCCCTGTCCTATCCTGTTTTACTATAGTAAATTTGAGTATATTATTTAGTGCATTAATCAGAAATTATCTGAGACGTTAAGTGCCTACGTTGCATACACTACCAGTAATTTGTGTGATCTGTTTTTTCTATTTCTTCTATATTTTTCCTTCCTCATGAAATTATAGGTTCTGTTTCTTATTTGCATTGCAAATCTGTTTCTGGGTTTAAATGAAGTTTTTAGGCACTTCAAATGAAACGTAGTTTCTGAAGGGATCAAGGGATTATAATATAGAACCTGAGGTCTATGCAGAAGATGAGAGCTCTGGAGACTAGATCAAAAGCTACTGTTTTGTCTTTTAGTTGCAGTTTATAACGTACTACAAAAACATAAGCAGTATTTTGTTATCCTACATCCCCCTTAAACTGAGAAATCAGTATTTTCACTACAAGCTGCCAAAAATATTTCACTAAAGTGCGCACTCTCTATTGTTCATTTTTCCCCCACAGACAGGGGAAAGAAGAAATGAAATGTACGAACTATACTAAATAGTTTCGTATTATTTCAGATGTTTCTGAAACCCTTTTTAGTTTTTATTATTCCTGCACGGTCAGACGATGATGCCACGCCAGGGTTTAGCGTGCCATCATGTTATGCACAACGGCAGTTCCTTAGGCCTAGTGCAAGGTCAAAGCTACTGATTCAGTAGCATACTAGAGCCAACGTAAACACCACACTGTGCTGCAGAACGTCTGATCTGCAAAATGGAAAGATGAGCATGTGGAAATACGACACGTCTGGAAATAGCCAAGTGACAACATAAAGAGCCTTCGAAGAATATATATGTAATTTATTACAAAGGGACGTAACAAGTTTACTGCTCCTTTGGGTAGCAGTAACTTGTTAATAGCAGAAACACATCCCTCAGGGTTGTATCAGTTATCTGGCAACAATCAGTCCATTTTAAGGCACTTAGATTCCATTACAAAGACATATTTTGATTCCCCTTTTTTTGGTTTAGGAAAATAAAAGACCTAAAATCTAAGAATTAACTTGAAGGCAAAAGAGAACTTTTTTCCTGCAGTATGGAAAGAAAAAACAAAAACAAGTATCTGTTCTTAGCTGTGAAACATTACAAAAAAAGATGACAAGAAAAAAATTTTTGATTTCCCTTAAAAACGTTGTATCTTGGCAACAAAGAAAAAAGCTTTTAGGTGAAAATTCCCATGCTATTATATCTAAAATGACTCTTATTTCAGTATTTGATAAAATGGTCATCAAGATTATAATTATTTTTTCCAAAAAGATCATTTATGTGACCAATATGCTTGCAGTTGGAGTAATATACTCAACAAAAATATGGAAGCACAAAGAAATTGATGGCAAAATTCTTACTTCAGTAGGCCCAGGTCTCAATTCCAGAGAATAATGGAACATGTGGAGGCTTATCACCACCACCTTCGGCAAAACCAAGACCGTGGACATTAAGTAATGCCAAAAAACACCCCAAACCAAAACCAGACCTTATATAAAAAAGTGTACCAATTATTAATTATTAACATTAAATTATATTTAATGAGCAAATTACCACCTTTAAATCACTTATTACAATTTTTCACTAGTACCAAAATTGTACCAATTATATCCATTTAAACTTTACACCAAAAATTACCGGCCAAATCATCTTGACAATTTCAGAACAACAAATGCCATGCAGACCGGGAATGTTGGAAAGGAGAGAGAGAGTTATGATTCTTTTTTGCTTAAGGGAACTCCTAATGGGACTCATATCATGGATTTTACTTCCAAAAGAAACAATTCTGCCCATGTTGTCTTACAAAAAGGATATTGCCATAAATCATCCTGGTGATTTACTAGCTTAAATAGTACAAGATACTACTAACTCTGTATTAAAAAGTCCCTCACAGTCTGTACAAAAAAGGCCAGTTCTGAAAATTGCAGAGTTCCATTAGCTTCCAATTAGCTTGGTTAAGTTTGGTATTTATAAGACATCAGTCAACTGATGAACTGCATTTTATCAACAAGCTTTCACTAATTCTTTAAAAAAAAAGTCTTCAGAAATGAAGCAAACAAACAAAACACCTTTTCCAGTTGTTTTTAGCAAACGCGTTTTCTGATTATCACAGAAGTAAAGACGAGCTTTAGAAAGATGCTTTTAATTTCCATTCAAAAAACTATGTAACAGATTACAGTTAACTTGCCCATGCAAAGAACTGCTTTGGTATTGCTTTTCATCAAAAAGTTTTGTTAGATTTGACCTTCTGGACAGTCCATCTTCATTATTCTTCACTCACATAATTACATTGTGAAATAAGTCAGATGGAAAAGTGTTGCTTTTTCCTCTGAACAAATATAAGAGCTGTACAAATAGAATGCTGTGGAATTCTAAAGTGGAACAATATCTATGAACATTTGAAAAACATCAATGATGTTTTCATCATTTCATTTCACCGATGAAAATAAATATTCCTTCATAAATATTTGCTCTATAGATGCTCTGAGTTTAATTATTTCACAATCTAGTTACAATAGGTGAAATTAGTTGGATATTTTAGTTAAAAATCAAAATGTTACAAAAACCAACTCAAATTTTAATGTATATATGCTCTCAAAAAGAAAAATATTGCAAAAATCTAATGAAAGCAGTACTTGAGAACTGAGATGGAAGCTTCATTTAGAGCCAACAGATTACTTAGATGGCATATGCAGACATAATAAAACTAACTTCAAAAAAAGCTATGCAAATTTATTCCTGATTTCAATAAAAAGCCTGTGTGGACATCCCACGCCCTGCATATTCTAGTTGCAAAGTAGAGAAATTTTTTGCTTGCTATGGAAGAATGAATCAAATAACAGACAGTTCTGAATAACAGTTTTCCACCCTGATCCAAAGCAAAAAAACGTGTAACCTTTACTTAAGCATCTGCTGCAGTAAATTGCAGCTTCCTAGGAGTTTTTGGCCAGAACTTGAGGCAACAGCAAGGTTTAGGAGTTCTGGGACACACACTAAACAGTAGCAGAATTAAGACAGACATTTGGGCATATATTAGCCTAGATAAAAGGAAAGATTGTTGTTTGGATTGACAGACTTTGTAACAAAGCTGAAAACAGACTTCTTTTAGATAGGAGTTTCCCATCCTTTCTCCTCTCACTCATTAGCTGTTGATGCTATTGTTTCTACAGTTATCACCATCCTATTGCTGTCTCCCTTACTCTAAAAACATTTTTCTGAGTACCTGTACTGACACCTACTCATGAGATATGCTCCACCTGTACTCAAGAAGGAAAATGAGATCTTTAAATGAAGATCACAAAACAGCTGACATTGCTCTGTACCTACATCAATAGGGGTCATAGCTTCAGCTTGCTCTTAAAACAGACGGAGCAATCACTCCAGCAAATATTCCTCCCTCTAAAAAGTCACAACATAAAAGCCAAGGTTTCTGGCAAGGTTATGCAGTTAAGTAGTAATACATTCTTTCGCCAAAATTTCCCTTTAAGAGCATACAGAATAAAAACATGTTCGCTTGGCAACTAGCAGAACGAGGCTCAAGTTTCCACTACAAACGCCTGCTCAGTGTGGCAATGCTAAAGGCAAACTGCAAATAAAACAGCAAGGAACACCAGTATAGGGAACCGAGCCCTAGTCTGTGAGCAGAATTTTTAATTATATATTTAAAAAATACCAATCATGGAATAAAATACAGCAAGCTTTGTCCAGAATGGAGCATGGTGGAATTCTATTGAAATAGCCTCCCACTTTAATGGCAAATAATTGCTGTTACTCAGTTCACTCTGAGTTATTTTGATTGTTGATCATTCCTTCCTCCTTTTAAGCAGAGCATTTGCTAAGTTTCTAAATTCAGGAAAATGCACTTCCTATGACCAGGCGTCATTAGACTAAAATACTACTGAAGAACTGCATTGTAACTGGGATGAGAAAGCACCAGAATACAACTTCCGATTTTAGCGTGTAAAAATCCCATATCATTCTATCATGCTTCCAAATACTTGGTATATTGAAATATACCAAGCAAAAGATCTTTATTCATTGCCCTTGCTATTGTTCAAAAGAAGTTTATGCTGCTGCTTTTAATTTTTGTGATGCTGTAAAGCATGCAACTCAATTCTACTTTCTTTTGCACTCAGAATTCCCATCTACTTGGCATCCACTAAAGGGAAACAAGAGCACCGAGCAGAAGAGGAACTCAGGTGTGCTTTCCAGAAAACTAGAAAATAATTCAGATGGAATAAGAATAAATTTTCTATCAGTTAGGAAACAAATTTTTCATCTGCAAAACATCCATTACTTAGTAAGTCTTTCCTCGCCGCTTCATTTAGTGAATTCATATCTCTGCAATTTTGAAATGAAAAGCAAGAGAGAATGTACCGTGTACCGTAAAGGTAAGGGGACAAAAGAACTTTATATTTTCTTACCTTTGCATTATACGGAATATAATGCTTTGATAAGGCTTCAGGAGTGTGCATCCATGTTTTATCTACAGAAAAGACAAATAAAAGTAGTACTGAATAGATTATACAATTGCTAAATATAACCAACATCTATCTGAAAAGCGTCAACCATCCTGATTTTATTCAAGCAACTATCTATCTGAAGTAGTTATTGAGGCTGAAAAGAAAGGCAAGGTATCTTACAACTTCCCAAACAGTTACACGAAACAACTCGATTACTTCTCTTGGGCACATTTCCCGTTTTAACTGACTTGACTTATCACAATAATTCCAATTTCTCCTCCTTGAATATATTTATTGGTCTAAGGTTTTTTTTTCTCTTTCTGCCTCACATCAGTATATTCTGAATCACTGTCGGTGAAAGCACTGACTGCACACTGCCTTTCTAATGACTTTTTATAGTGGGGGGTGGGGTTGGATAAACTAATAGGCTTAAGGATAAAGGAAATTATTTTTCAAAAATAATCAAAGTGAAAATAAACAGAAAAATAGCTCTATTATTTCCATTGGAAAATAGAAGAAAGTCAGATTGCAGTAGATGATTCAGAAATCTAGATCTTATATAATCTTTCATTACATATCCTAAATAAATTTGCATATTTTTCCCTTAATGATTTGCACATCTCAGAAGACCACACTACCATCTTACTTTTCCCTCTGCGCATTTTATACGCTGACATGAGTTTACTGTTTTTGAAATACATCCTCCTCCCTTCTTTGGAGTAGTCATTTTAAATGACTACTCCATAATTTAAGATGGAATTCTAAACATTAGAAATATTTTATTTATATCAGGAATTCAGAAACTCTGTAAAAAAGCTTTCTAATGAAGAAACTTAAGAAAAAACATTCAATAGCGAGTAGTGGTTTTAACATGAGACTACTCCTATTTTAATTAGCATGAATTAAAGTCAGAAAATCTGGAACTTTATGGAATTAAGTAACAGAACAACAGCTTAAAGCAAAATTATACCCTTGGATATTCACAGGCAATTCCCTTTGCCTTTAAGAGGAGCTGCAATATAACAAGTATTAGCTATTCTGTCAGTGATGCCTAAGAATAAAACTCAGTTCAGCTAATTCTTTGGACTCATCAAGAGCAAAAGCTGCAAAGCTTATTGAGACTAAACCAAAAAGTAAATTTTTGAATATAGAAGCAGCAAGAAACCTGTAAAATAAGGTAGTCACCACAGTCACCACTGTAACAAGATCAAAATTCCAAAGCTGAAGGACTTCTTTCTTTAACCAGGTTTCATTCTATATGACAAAACGTTCAGCTCCATCACTGGAGTAATATCGCCACTTCTCAATTAAGAAAGAATGATTTCTCCATTCAGAGGCAGCCAGGAGTGTGATTACGCACTGAAGTGGCTCTTCTCCCTTCTGGTTGTGGCTTGTGAGTGGAATATTGGAAACAAGAACTGAACTAGTATCCCCAAATATATGTAGAACTGAAGTTTAGATCTGTATATAGTACAATATTGAAAGTTGAGGTTATGCAGAACAAAAAATGACAACCCTTGTGAATTTGGAATACTAAAAATAAAGCCTGACAACCCAAAAAATAGCTGTAAGCATTGTATCTCAAGTCAATGCATCGCTGAAAGTCAGACAAGCAAAGCAGTCACTAGGCTTTACTGAAAGAGCCAGATGCAGAGGAAGCAGTCACATAAGACAGGACTCTTCTCTGTTCCATAACGCTTACTCCAGCAGAGCTAAGACCTACACAGAGGAAATCTCAGCTCCGAAACATGCCTGCAGCTTGCTCATGAAAGTGTCTAAACTCCATCTCTTACACCACAACTGTTTACTAGCTTCAACAGGATACTGGCATATTTCTGAATTTGCAGTAGAGAAAATTTTCAGTAGTAAAAATTCACTAGTAAAAGTGCTTCAAATTAATACTTTTGAGTCTCTTAAAGAAATAAAAACAAAAATATCTCCCACTCACTTTATTAACTACCACTAGCACAAACAGTAGGGCTGTATCAATTTTATATGCAGATAAATGAGTAGATGTGTACCAATAAAGTTCCCTTCTCCCTTCCCATCCCCAAGCAGGACAAGTTCAAAGCTGGAAGGAAAAAAAAAAGTTACTTAATCTGGAGGCCAAGTCTGAAAGACTGGTCTTAAGTATCTGGTTATCATTCTGCTATTATTACTAGGTACAAAGCTTTACCACATATGTTTTTGTGAAACCATCCACTTGCCTACCAGCCTCAAACCGTATTGCTGCTACAACAACAGAGATTGTGGTGAGGAAGTAACACTGTTAGAAAAGTGTTTCCATGAATACTGGTACTGTAATTCAGGGCAGATAAGGAAATATGGAGAGATGCTCTCACCTCAAAAAGGAGCAGAAATCAGTAAGTTACCAGGGTACCAAAAAGATGCCTGGATTCTTTGAATACTCATGCCGTTAATTAAAACGCTGAGTCTGCAAGCAGTATTTCTAATATACACTTACAAATCAGCAGATACTGCAACACTGGACGCAAGTCTTCCATTGATGTTAGAAGCCCATTTGCTAGAAGCAGGTAATAGTTAAAAGGATGATAGCATTTTTGAAAAAAAAAATCTCTTCAACACTAATCAAAATCAATGAGAGGCAAAATTCACATTCATAGTGAAGATGCGCAAAAAATCATGCAGATA